TTTACCTATTCCATTGCTCTAGACATCCGCAGAGTACACAGTCTGTGATTTATCTTTCAGCATTCTGTTCTGAAATCAGATTTCAGACCGGCCACAGGTGAATTCACATGCACCACTATGCCCACTGGATTAGTTTTGTAGGTGGCCCTCGACACCTACTGGCAGTTTATGGTTATTGCACCTAATCCAGCTAACTGAACCACAGGTAAGATTTAATATTGTAAATATAGAGCATAAGTTGCTAATTTAAAAGGACAATGTCAGATAATCTAACTATCCAAGGTGTCTATGTGAGAGGTTTTAGAATACTTATATGATGATGTCCCTTCTACATCACTATTTTTGTTTCTTGGGATTAGTCTTCTACTCATTTTTTTTTTCTTTAAAATTGGTTTGACAGTAGGGCTAGGAATGAGGCATTTGTAGAAACGGTGCAGTCTTTTAGGACTGAAGCCACACTTCTCAGGAAAGAGGTTGGAAATCGGAAGAAGGTTACAGCCAATTTAACTAACAAAACTCGGTCAACTGAGATGCTTTTGGAAATGGTACAGACTGATAGTAATTTATTTAAAGGAAGATTCTGCACTCTACAGAAGGAAACAGATGATTTGGAACATTAAATCCAATCGATGACAGTGGGTGCTGAAAGGTTATTTGAGAGAATACTCACTGTTGAATGTCTTAATCGGACTCTGTCAAAGTGGAATGACAGATTGATTGATAGGATGTCTCTCCAGGAAGGCAAAATGCATGCTATAAATATTATATCCAAAAATGAGACATTATCTCTACTGGTCAGACTTCATACCTTAGAATACTCAATGAGTGCATTAGTGTACAACACTGGACAGAAGATCCAGACATTACAAAAGGCAGTGGTAAACAGATTTGAAAAGATTGAAGAAATTATCAAATTTGATGACCAGGAACAAAAGGTAAAAATACAAAATTTAACCTCATTGGTACATAAAAATCTCCAGAATAGCTTCCTCAGAAAAGGCTGATTCAGTAATCACACATTTATTAGTAGTTAGGCCATCATTGGCATTCCTGCACACATAAAGACAGACAATGGTCCACCATATGTATTCAAGAAAATGAAATGGTGTTTCGATTATTATAATATAAAGCACATTACAGGTATACCAAATAATCCTACAGGTCAGGCAGTTATAGAAAGTTCAAATTGCACTATAAAGGATATGCTGGCCAAACAGAAACGGATGGTAAATACTCACAGAACTAGATTGCATAATGCTTTATTAACCTTATATTTTTGTAACACTGATGAGAAAGGGACAACAGCAGCAGAGAGACATTGGAAAATAAAAAAAAAAAAACTTCTGAATTGCATCAACCGGTATATTTCAAGGATGTGTTAACCTCACAATGGAAACCAGGAGATGTACTATGTTGGGGAAGGGGTTTTGCTCTTGTTTCCGCAGAAGAAGAAAAGTTTTGGATACTATCAAAATTACTAAAGATTCACATTGAAATGGAGAAATCTCCTGAAAAACAGTAATAATACCACATCCACAGTGTTGACAATCATACAGGTGGTAAGTAAAGGTCATAAGGGTAAGGGCACTGTTCTACTCTTAGCTTTGCAGAAAATACACATCATCAAAAATTCAAGAGACCCTGGATATTTGAATGCTGACAGAAGAAAAAAATAACTATCTACTGAGGAGGATCTAGAAAAAGAATATGATTTATGAATTCAGGTACTATTTGCACATATTTACACACAGACACACACACACACACACACACACACACACACACACACACACATATATATATATATATATATATATATATATATATATGCCAGGTTTTAGAGTTGGAATATGTCTCTGTAATTCTCTAAACCCAAGCTTGTGAAAAAGATCATTCAGGGTTTCTTTCTCATATCAGGAACCATCTGGATCTGGCATGGGACAGAAGAAAGACTTTTAAAAAAAAATTTACTTTCTCCATGCCTTTTTTGTTTATATCATATTCTTCATTGAATGTATATTTATATGAATGATGCTTAAGTTTTTCCTGTTGACATAGATTTTCCTACAGATCCTTTTCCTGCAGTAATCTTTGAAATTTCCAGGAAGAAGATGTGTCCCCAAGGCAACCAGTCCATCTAGTTGAAATGACATCGGGATGCAGACAGTGCTACTATAAGACTTCTTTTTTGCGTACCAGCTGCGGAAATTGTGCTACACATTGGAAGCTACTTAATTATACTTTCTGCGAGCTCAAATAATATTATCTCCCTTCTCAGGCAATCAATGGGTTTGAAAATTAGATAGTCATAGTTACTGTACCCTTACAAACTAGCCAAGCCATTTCCTGTACAAGACTTAGACTCCATAGGATAGAATGTTTATTAAAACATTTAACATATGATCCTTGCTCAATATTGTTTATTCTGATTATAATTCTAATCTTATAGTTGATATCTGTTCTTAGTGTATATTGTTATGTATTGGTTTGGAGCTCTCTTACTTGAATAAAATGGGACAGTTCTGTAGAAGCTCCTGCCACTTCTTATGCAAATGGCCATTAAGATACCAACCAACTGGGGCATGGTATCATATACTTTAAAAAGCAGAAGGAACTGGGATTGTTTTGCAACTTCATATATATATGAATAGAGAGAGAGTTATATATTGAAAGAGTTATAGAGAGAGATTTATTTATATATATATAGTTATACATAATAATAATTCTTTAAAAATAATATACTAATTATTAAAACTTGTTACAAACACATATTGCAAAGCAAAAGAAAAAATGTGAATCTTGGTAACCAGAGAAAACATCATTTAAAATGATGCAAAGGATCTGGAGAACATGGCTAAATATAATCATTAGTTTTCTAGCTATTTATTAAAACTAATTAATGCAGTGGACAAGTTTCTTTTAGAGAGAAGTTTGTAAAACTTTCAAATAATGAGAGTTTCTATATTTTTATGTTTTTCAATTTTTTTAGGACATAATTTTCTGTGAGTTTCTGCAAACAGCAGGGCTGGCAGAATAACAGTCCACATGATGCAAGAAGGAAATCCTAAACAACAGGACTCAGAATCTTGGGTTGGTTCAAACTTCTGGAATTAGACTCTGAGTTGTCTCAAGAGTCAAGATCCAGTGATTACAGCATTCAGGATATTTTTCACCACATTGGGTTCTAGAGTTATGTTCCAACATCCGACAAAAATAATCATGTCTTACAAATTGAATGCAAATATTGTTGAAGGAGGCAGAAAATCACATCCAAGATTATGTCATGGAACAAAATGTACTTGGACTAAAAGGTCCTCTCCATTTTTCTTCCTAGAGATTTTCTCACAGTTCCCCAAGGCATTCATGGGCATGTATCATTTTAACTGTATTTTGACACTTTGGATATTGAATATGTCCAGTGTTGCTTCGGGAGTTTAGTATGACCTAGTTACAGATAGGACAAGGTCAATACATGTGGGCAATTATCCACCGCCAGCCCCAGCTGTCAGAGTAGCAAACAGAGTATGCCTATATTCATTGAATTGACAACCCTCTATTTAGCATTTCTGGTTTCCCCAGTGCTACCTTTGAGGAGTGAACCTCTGTACTCATTACAAATTACATTTTGTACCTTCAGTTTCCTCCCTCAAACTCTCCTATAAACCACACATTCCTGTTCTCCTTCAAGTTTTTGTCCTTTTTGATGCATTGTTATTTTTATACATAAATTTGTATATACATATATTCATAAATACAAGTGGAGCAATCATACCATGTTACAATTCTGTTTTCAAGACTGTCCGTTGGTTACTGAACAATCACTTTTTGTGCTCTTCTCTTGGGAAGCCCACTTCTCCCACTCCCTGCTTTTCTAAATAACTATAGAGATCTTTGATGCTGTTACCTTATAGCTTTCCTTTCCAGTTTAGCATGCCCATTGGTATCATCCAACAACCTCACATTGATTTAAACCACAATTATACAAAGTTTAAAATAATCTATGTAGATGGTCATTTGCTGTCCTAGCAGATCCAAAACATTAACGGGGAGACTTCTTACTTGAATGCTTGGCCTTAGCATAGGATTGTTTCCCATTAGGTTCAATAACTTAAATTAACCCATATTTTTGTCTACATTTTGCCACAAATTGCACAAGCTGCTTCCTTCCTGTTTTCTGGCAACTCCCCTGCATGCCTCAATTCCTCCTCCTCCCTACTCTCTCTGCAAGGAATTTCTGCCCCTACCTTGTGCCTAGACATTGTCCAATCATCAGCCTATTTCATCAATCAAAGTGACCCAGTTTTAGACAGTGTAGACATATTCCACGACAAATCTACTTCTATGTTATGCCAAGTTCTCATTGTTGCTGTGATCCACGGAAGAGCTCACATTTATAATACCTTGCCATTAGAAAATAGACTATCAGAACAATAAATGGAATAAAAATTTGCCAAAATATTTAACATTTTTATTGCAAAGACACAGAATGAAAAGACTTGAAGTTTAAAGCAAACTGGTATTTATATAAAATCACCAAAAATCACAGGAATACAATCTTTGTATAGAATATAATCTCATTACATAAGCAACCATATGACAAGATATTAAATATGCATCAAATCTGAAATAGATTCACATTGGCTCTCTCTTTAACAAGTTACCTCAACATACAGTCAAGAAATGTTGTTGTTTAATTTTCTTCTACTAGAAATATTGACGCATTCATCATAATGATGTTTGAATAGTATATTCTTATAACGATGCAAAAATTCAGTTTAAAACAAATGTTTGAAAAAATAAAGTTCAAATCTGGACACAATGTATCTAAATTTGTAAGAATTGTATATCTGTATAAGTATTGAAAAAAACTTTGAAAATTATTTAAAGGATTTGCATCTGTGTAATATCTTGGTCAATGTATGAAGACCGTACAATGAACTAGTGGGAGGTATACTAATAAACTTTATGAAATGTATCCATTACATGAATTTTTGTGATGCTTTCTTAGAGTTGAGTTTCTCATAAAGGACTTGCCACATTCTTTACATCTGTAAGGTTTTTCACCAGTATGGAGTCTGTGGTGAATGTGAAGATTTGAGCCCCGGGTAAAGGACTTGCCACATTCCTGACATCTATAAGGTTTTTCACCAGTATGGACTCTGTGGTGAATGTTAAGATCTGATCCCTGTGTAAATGACTTGCCACATTCCTGACATCTGTAAGGTTTCTCACCAGTATGGATTCTGCGATGTCTGTAAAGACTTGTGTAATGGGTAAAAGATTTGCCACATTCTTGACATCTGTAAGGTTTCTCACCAGTATGTATTCTGTAATGCGCCTGAAGAGTTGAATCCTGGGTAAAGGACTTGCCACATTCCTGGCATCTGTAAGGTTTCTCACCAGTATGGATTCTGTTATGCTTATAAAGATTTGAATCCTGGGTAAAAGACTTGCCACATTCTTGACATCTGTAAGGTTTCTCACCAGTATGGATTCTCTGGTGAGCTTGAAGTTTTGCATGATGGATAAATGACTTGCCACAATCTTTACATTTGTATGCCTCCTTTCTGAGATTAATTCTCTTAAGCCTCGTGAGGCATGGAGATCTGTTGGAGCCCTTCTCATATTCCGTGTAGTAGTTTTGTCCAATTTGATTACTTACAAAATGTTTCTCTTGTGTCTGGTCATTCTGCAACAAAAATACAGGAATGTATTATAATAAAAAATCTTACAATTTTAATATATGTATTGGCTCTTCGGAAAACATTATTTGTTCTATGTATTTAAATAATAAGTAAAGTCATATTGTGGTTTGATGTTTTGGGAATTTCTCCCTTCAAGATGAGTATTCTGATAACTAGTCATTCTAGAGCTCCTTGGTAATGTTTTAATAAAATCATTAAATGTGTAAGGCTTCTCACAACTAGAAATGCTATGATATATTTTCAGTCTCATTTGAGAAAAAACTCCCCATGTATATTTCAATCGAATAGCTTGTGACAAAATATAATTATTATTTGAAGGAACTTTAGTGAATGTTTAATAGTATATGTGTCTTTCAGTTTTTAGATTTTAGATTTTTGAAAATTCAGTTTTTAGATTTTTGAAAATTTAGAATAAAAACATGCTTTAAAACATATTTTTTTACTGAAGAAACTTTCTGAAAACAAAATTGATCTAATGTGAAGTATTGCAAGCAAATGTCAAAATTATTAATATTTTTTACAGGTAAACACAGGGTTGGTGAATATAAATTATATCAATCATGACATATTCCATTCTCTTTTCTCTCTTCCCAATAATTTGAGATTATCCTTAAATGCAAGTTTTTTAAGTCACCACTTACATCTATTCCTGATATTAACTTCTGGATAGGATCTTGTCTATTTACCGGTGAAAACAGATCTTGTGTTTGATTAAAATAGAAAACTGGAAGATAGAAATATATAATTATTAGTTCACATATGTGAAACATTTTCAGATATATAAGTGACATATACTTATAAATATGTAGACTCGTATGCAAGATGGCATATTACAGAAAATAAACTTCAAATCATTTATTATGAAACATTCTTTGTAATGCAAATGGGTAGATGATCTTTTATAACATATAATTAATAAATTATAAAAATGGAAGAAATTAAGTTATCTTACCTTACATATTCCAATCATAATTTTCAGAATAATAAACAAGAGTATGATGAGTTGAGTGTAATGACCCCATATAAGCAGATGTCTGAATACGTGGCCTGAAGTTGGTGGATATTTATGGGTAGGGTAAAAAAGGTATCAACTTACTGGAACACATGTATCTGGATAATGGCTTTGAGAATTTTAATGCCTTCTATTGCCAACATGAGCTGTCTGCTTACTGTTTTGGTTCCAGATGGAACCTCTCACGGCAGCTCTAGCCCCTTATCAACAATTACCTCTGATTTATCATAATGGATATTTCTGCTATATATTGTCTTTTTCTTGGAGTTTTATCACAGCAATTGAAAAAGTCTATAACCCAACTACAAAAAAATCACACTCCTGATATGGTATTATCTTAATGAACATAACTCATCTTCACAATCCCTCAAATTGAACAAATTAAACAATATAAATAAAGAAGACAGACTATTAATTAGTAAAGAAAGAAGGAAAGGAGGAACATGAAACAGTTATTACTAACTGGCCCACAGAGAATCATGTATGCCACAAGGAAAGCATCCATAAATTTTCAGACATCATGTAAATTCACTAGGACTGATCTTATTAAAGAGATACATTTTCTCTTTTTCTTATACAGAAAATAGATGTTTTCATAAAATATATTCTTACTATGGGCTTTTCTCCCTCATAAGGCATCAGATCCTCCACATCCACATTGATGTCAGAATTCACCCACTTTCTGTCACTTAGAAAACAAATTGGCATCTAAAGATTCAGAAAGTAGTTTGGGGTAATTCTAACTAGATTTAAATGCTAATGCTTTGTGAAATGTATTTTTATAGATTCTTGTACAAAATAAGTTGCCATAGATGAGAGGACTTATTTTAGTATCTGTAATTTGTTTCAGTGATCAGCCATACCATTATTTTACAAAACATGATTAATATATAAATGCAGAATATTTTAAAATTGTGAATGGTGATATACTGTATATATAGATTTATTTTTCATGATTGTTTAAGCTATTGTGAGATTTTTGTTTATTTGCCATCACATGATGCTGAAGACTCTCTTTTCGAGACCTTCATGAATTGTTAAATTTTGATGGGATTTTCACAGAATCAGTACATTACTTTGATAAGATATTCATTTTTGCTACATCAATTGACCAATCCATGAGTAGGTGAATTTTTTTTCCATCTTCTGATATCTTTTTCAGTTTATATCTTCAATGCCTTAGAGTTCTGACAAGGGTCTTTCACTTTTTTAGTTTGATTACCCCAAACTATTTTCTTGGGTTATTGTAAAAGATGTGGTTTCCTTTCCCTGATTTCTATTTAAGTCCTTTCTCATTTGTACATATGAGGGCTACTGCTTTTGTTACTCAGTTTCACATTTCTATTTTTGATGAAAGTGTATCTCAGCTGGCGAAGTTTCTTGGAGTCTTTTATACATAAAATCATAGCATTTGCCTAAAATATTCCTTTCATGTCTTCTTTTGTTATTCATCACTTCTTCATCTTCTTCATTAGTATTATTATTCTAGCTAAGATTTCAAGGACTGTATTGGGATTCATATAAAGAAAGTGAATACCCTTTTATAGTTTCCTATTTTAGTGGAATGGCTTTGATTTCTCTCCAGTTAGTTTGTGTGGGCTATAGGCTTGCTACAAATTGCCTATTTCATTTGGAAATATGTACCTTGCATCCCTAATCTCTCTAGGACTTTTGTCAAGCAGAGCTTGTTAATTTTGTCAAAGGATTTCCTATATCTAATTAAATGAACATATGGAATTTGACTTTCAGTTTGTATAAGCGGTAGATTACTTTATTGGTTTTGAATTGTTGATCTGTCCCTATATGTCTTGAGCGGAAGTTTCTGGTAGATAGTTCTTTTGATATGCTATAGATTCAGGTTGCAAATATTTTACTGAGGACTTTTGCAGATATATTCATAATGAAATTGGCACATCTTTTACTTACTTTTTGTGTTTATACATGGTTTAAGTGTCAAGGGAACTGTCCCACAAAAAGAATTTCATAGAGTTCTGGTCTTTATTTATTTTTTTATCTTTTGAAGAATAGCTTGAGGAGTATTCATGCTAATTCAAGATAATTATTAAAAGATAGGAGATACCACTTACTACCATTATACTGCTGCTTGGATATAGTATTAAAATTATTCCTATATCTTATCGGTTTACCCACAGACTGGTGCATCTCTATGCCTCCATTCCTAATGGAATTTGACAGTAAAAGTTGACTCATATGTGGACATAGTGAAAACAATAAAAATCGGTTTTAATTAGCATGTTTATATCAAACCTATTTCATGGAATGTTCAGAGCTCATTCAGGAGAGTGTGATAATTCATGTTCAGTGTAGGAAGTCATGAATGACTATAAGAAAATGGTTCTCTTGTATGCAAAGTAACAGGTGACTTATAAACTCATTTAATCAAGATAGTATACATTGGACCTAAGAAAGCCCAAGCAAGATTAAAATCCTAGAGAAAAAGTGCACATGGAGACAGACACTTTCCTGAGATTATTCTATCACCTGAAACATACATAAATGTATGTATGTACATAAATGGAGAAAGGTCATGAATTTAAGAATGTGCAACTTCTGATAGTTTAACCATATTAAACGCCATGCTCAACACCCAGGATGTTATGAGAATTACAGATTGAATTCTGTGGGTTTAAAAAAAGAAAAAAATAAAGAATTTTAGAGGAAATGGAACATCAGAGACTGGAGAGTTGAATTGGTCAAATGATACTGTAATATATTCTTAAATAATTAATAAAAGTATTAAAAATAAAATATTATGCATATACCAATTTGATTCTCCAAACAAACTCAAATATAGATAAAAAACACAAAGGAAAACAAGAGAATATACAACCTTTATGTGAACAGTAACATATAGATTTTGATATTCAGAGATTTTCAGATGACTTTAAAATGGACCAATAACATGTATGACTCTAAACAATTCTTAATTTCTAATGAATAATTTGCAGAAATAAAAAAGTTACCTTTTAATTTCTGTAGAATGTAATGCAATGAATGAACTCTACAATCTTCCACAATGAGTACAACTATAAAAACCATATTTCCTGATTATATGTGATAATACACAACAGTGAAAACTATGTAGTACTCTCATAAGAACAGAAAAACAGACATGAACATTACAGAGAAATACTCTTTCAAAAACTACAAAAGTTTTTAATGCTAATTTTATTTTCAATATTGTTCATTTCTGGGTTTGGTGGCATTCAAAGATATGGCAACAAATATTCTAAATTCTGCTTTATACCATAATTAAAGTTAAGTTTTCAAAGTACATTTTTAGGTCATTTCATTTGAATGAGACTCATAAAGTAATTTGATATAACTATACAATGTGAATTTTTATACCATTTCATGGAAAGCTCTTTGCCAACCCCACTTCAGAGAAGAATTCCTCTATGTCCTAGGTTTCCCACATGTGTCAAGGCATCATTGTGTCTTACCTCTTTCATTGCCTTCTGTCTCTCCCATGTTCTCATTCCAGGGTTCTTTGCTTTGTTCAAGACAGATGATCAGGTGTGGTTTTGGCATTGAAAAACCTGCATATTAAAAGAGATATATAGCCATAAATTGGGATAATAGTAAAACACATAGATTTCTAAGGAAACACTATATAAAATGTCATATAATATAAAATTAAAAATATAATATCCAAATTTCTGTCTCCCAAAATTTAAAACATCCCAAATCATTTTTGATAATATTGTAAACCTTGCTTTCTTTTGTAAATTACTATTGAATGCAAATATGTTGTGAATCATCATGTTGCAAATCAATATATAATCTAGTCTGAAAAGTAAAATGTATTAGACCTGTTTGAATGATAAATGTCATTCTCAGGATTCAGGAC